TATTGAAAAAAATGAAGAATTGTAGCCATTTAATTAGTATAAACTTCTAATTTGTTATACAGACTCTCACTCCTTTGTAACCTAAACTAAGTATACGAATTCAGCAAATTGAAAATAATATCTGTTGCTATTATTTCTTAACAGTTTATTTCGATTTGTCTGCTGAAAATTTAACCAATTAGAAAACAACTGTTACTAGATGTATTACTCCGTCTTTAAACATGTCACGTTCTTCTGCACAATTCTATTCTAGTAGCACTTTGCTTCTGTTAAAACTTTTGACTGCAATTAGAAATTATACAACAGAATTTTAAAAATCTGTAACGGTATAATCGTAACATTGAAGGAAATAAAGATTTTTTTGAGGTAGCAAAAAAAGTTTTAAAAACTTCAGAAGAACCTGTTGTGCCTTTTTTTAACGTTCAGCTTATTGCGCAACCGGTAATAAAAATAAGTGAGGACTGTTACCGTGTTAAATTTGAAAAAAAAAAAAGAATTGCATGACCAGGTAAAAGTATTTCAGACCTTGATTTCAGAACTGCTATCAACCAGGTTCGCAGCTAAGCAACTTAATACTGTTACATGCAAACCGTGACTTTCGTATGGTTTTTAAAATTAGCACTAACCCACTTAGTTTGAAGTTCTGCGTTTTTTGTTATATTTTCTGCCAACTACTGACAGTTGTTACAAATATAATGATAGGCATATTTGAGATGCTGAGGTATATAATATGCAAATTGGCTTAACAAGACCAATCAGAGTAATGTTAGTCTTGCTAAGTCTGCCTAAAAACATCTGCGAGATTTTAAAACGCTTGCTTAACGAGCGGCAGTGGTTTCTTTTACACTAGCACCTCTCACAGTGCAAACTCGTTGAAATCCTGTTTTAAAAAGACCATCATCCATGTCCAGAGGGATCTTTTGCCTGAATAATCCATTTTCAGGAAGTAAAGAGGCTTCGCGGAGAATCGAAATAACCGTTACTAATAAAAGAAAGTTAAATCTTAATAAGGGAGTTTTTGGTTACCAATTTCTAAAATGAAAGAGCAGCCATTCCAGCTGTTCAAACCTGCATATTGGGTGGTGGAATCGTATGCCACGGGCGTGCCGAACGTCCCTGCAGCCTTGGACGAAATGAGCTAGAAGAGACTGGTCATGTAATCACTCTAATTACTCGAAAATGTTTTTAATTTAAATGGGGCACTAGTACAACTTTACTACCATCAGACTAAGAAACCCTGGCAATTAGTAAGTTAATACGCTAAAAAAAATTATAACTTACTTTGGAGGATAAGATGCTCTCGGAAAAAAGTGCTTCCCTCGGACAGCCTGGTTTGGAAATGGTAAGGGTAACCTTGGTTTCGGTAATGGAGGATTAAAAAAGCCAAAGGTCTGATTGGGGGTCTGAGAAATCAGAGGTTTCTGGCCACTTGACGGTTGCGCTTGTTGCATACTGGTCACCTTATTTCCTAGTGAGCGTCCCATGCCTCCATTTTTTGGAGGTAGAGGAGCTGCAGAATCACTGGTAAAACCAGCATTACTTTTTATTGATGGAGGAGGTCGAGTTACGTCAGCAATGGGCACACTACACTTTCGATGATTAGTTGGAGGTGGATACGAGTAATTACAAGGAACTTTGCTAGATGAGGATGCCTCATCCAAATCCGATTCATTAACTTTAGACGTTGACGGACGTACAAAAGGAGTATTCCCGGATGAACCAATACCATTCGGCTTTTCTTGTGGCCTCACTTTAATCATGAGGCGTTCATCTTTATCCTCAGTAGCACCGTCAAAAGGTGTCGGTAGTTCCATAGGTTTTTGATCGGTATCATTCGCGGCAGTCCGCGTGAACGACTACAAGAATAGCACGAAGGGATACCGAGAATATTATTTTATCAAAAAATTACAAATATGAATGATAAAAAACTCGTCTCAGAACAGACTCTACAAAAGTTTTTTATACATATTATTAAGTAATGCGAACAAATTCAAAACAAAACAATACTAGACAAATAATGAAAAATAATCTTCATCAGTAAAGTATTTTCACAACACCCTAACTTTAAAGCTCTTTTAATGACCCATTAAATGTCATTACCTGCGCACAAGGAGGCATTCCGGCAGGCCTAGGAAAAGAACTTGAAGTGATAAAGCGTAAGTCAACGTCATTGCTACTAGCACGTATTAAATCTTCATCTATTTTCTTCTGCAAAAAAAAAGTTTAGCAGTAAACTCTTATCACGGGAATGGAAATGACCCATTTCCTAATAGAAAATACTTTGAAAAATAAAGTGCGAAAACTTTATTCTACATTTACATACTGTATCAATGATGCGATTTGAAGCAGGGATCCCCTGTAAGCATGCTGCCACATTTGACACAGCAGAAGTAGAAAGTAACTGCTCCTGTTCAGCAGAATCGGAGCTGTCAGATTTCAGCCCCTATAACAGTTTTAGTAACTGTTTACTATCAGTGAAAATGCCAAAAGTAATTCATATCTCAAATAACCCTGATTTAAGAAGAGCTACAGGAAAAGAGACCGGAATGTATTGTAACCACAAGAAAACCTCCTATTGCAGTCAAAAAGTAAAATTTCCACTACCTTATCACTTAATTCGACACTTTCGTTCTTTCCAAGGCCGATCTCTGATGTTAGTCCGCTCAACTGCTGCAGAGTTTTTACACCCGCATCAGACAATTGGAAGTTCTTCACTGACTGAGGAAACAATGAGATCTGAGGGGCCTGTAAACAATATTAAATGAAATGTTGATAGAGCGACTGCTGGGTATTTATATATTGCAGTTGAAGTAAAAGATTAAAATCTCGAAACGCTGTCAGCTGTAAAAGATGCGAAATTTCCCACATGGGATTTCAAGCTCAAAAAACGCATAAAATCATATAAGTATTCTAAGCACAGCAATTCCGCCCAGCAGTGGTCGTGAAAAGGATTTAATTAAATTACTCGATAAATCTTTGATGAACCCTCAAGTCTCATATCAAAACGGCTTTGTCCATCTGAGACAGGTATGATTTTTGAAGCCGGTGCGACGTAAACAGTCTCCTCTGGTGGAGGACTGGCTGGAGACTCCGTATTCTCAGCGGAGCTAAATTTTTACTATTGTCTAAGCCAGAAAAACATTAAAAAAAAAAAGAACATTGTTCAAAAAAGCTTAGAAACTTGCAAAACCAAAAGAACAACAAATTTATGGCAAACAACCTGAATTTAAAAATGATTTAGAACTGTACTTACTTAATAACGCTATTCTCCACATCAGCTGAAGATTTGTTTAGATTTGCATCATCCTGAAATAGGAACCAAGATGTAAAAGCATAAGAACCAAGATAAAAAATTAAACAAACAGATAAACCCCAACAAAAATATTAGAGTCCTTCCGCACTTCTTCTGAAAGTAATAAAGCAACAGGAGCTTCGCGTGGATTTTTTGGAGGAGAAAGACATAGGATAATATCAAATTTAGTAATTACAGTAATAACAAGTGCTGCAAAATAAAGAATGAAATAAATCACCTTCTTCTTAGTTTCTAACGACTCATCGTAAGTATGACATCTGACAATCATAGGTACATCACCTCCCTGAATTGGTCAATAAATTTGAGAAGTAATTGCAAAACTGTGAAACCAAGGTAATAAGGTACATGAAACACTTACATCCAACTTCTTATTATCAACAGACCAATTATTGGCCTCATCCTCCCGCTTTATATTAACAAATGTACCGTCTCTCTTAGCCACTTTATTTTCTTCGGGGGGAGTATCACTCAATTTTGGAAGGGGAAGATCCTTGTGCACCTGCAAACGTCGTTTACGTCGCGGATCCAAAACAGGTTGAGATACCTGAAAAAAAAAAAAAACGGTAACTAACATTTAAAGTGATTTTGCTAAGTAAGACTCCACCAACCCAAAAAACAATTTTTATTGTAACACTGCCAAAAAAGAGTCAAGTTCACGTGATTTATTAAGCTAACTACATCACCCTGTAAATATTAACCGGAAGAATGCTATAAAAAGTTGCACCGACAAAATAACTGATACGAAAAATTACGGACATGAATGTTACACTTTGGAATCGTTTCAACAGTCCTCGGCTTAGTGGAGCTTTCCTTTTCAGAAGCAAGACTTCCGGGTTTATTAAATAAAATTGCTTTTATAGATTCTTTTTCATCCTGCACGGGCTGATCAATTTCCATATCAACAGGCGCTAAAGATTACAAATTTTTTTCTAAAGATTATAAATTCTCTGCTAAACAAAAATGTATTTCCTGGATTGTGAAACATCTACCTAACCACCAAAAACAGCTGAAATAAGGATATTTTCAAGTACTCAGCACAAATTATCAAATAATTAGTTCACTGAAAAGTTACACTGAGGCTCTGGAGTCGTATCACGCCTAACTACTTGCGGATGCTCATTTGCAAGCGGAGAGTCGTCATCATCACCTGTGGAACCCTTTTTTAACCACTGAGATGGAAAAACTTCTCGGGCAATTCTATGTATCACCACATCAATTCCATCAACTTTTTCTCCTAGCAGCGGGTCGCTGTCAAACTCGTTACTTAAACGATAATGTAAATGAAATTAGTAAGCAATGCTTCTTCTATTTGAAACTGTTAACAAAATTACATCTCGCTGTTCGAAAGAGGAACGAAATGTCCATGCAATAATGACATAGATGAGATGTAGAGGCAGTGGAAAACCGGGCTTGCTTTGAACGGGAGAGCCAACAGAGAACTTAAAAAACCATTTGGTATTAAGACCAGCGATGACATATCATCTAGATCAGCAAATGCAGCCTGAAATGGTTCAAAATTTGTGCATTTTATTGATCGTAATGCATTACACTCAAAGTAGTCAAGATTCTGATGTCAGTTTCCCAGCGTAAAATCATAAAAAAATAGTTATTACAAATTACAGCAGGCCACAAAAACTTAAAATATCTACAATTCAAAAAGACTTCGAACGCAAAGCAGTTCCCTAAGGAAAAGAGCTACCAACCACTAGCAACAAATTTATTCGAAAGGAACACTCACAAGTGATTGTACACGCATAAACTCGAAGAATTCGCTAAATCCACTACTTGTTTCTTCTGCTTCTAACGTGTAATAAGTCACAAATCGTTGATGCCTCCGAAGAACAAGCTAAATAATAAGTAATTTCCTGACATAAAGCAACTGAAAATAACAGGATGATATCTTAGAAACACTACGTGATACTCCAACTTACTTCCTTTTTGATTGCTAGCTCACCCACTAGTGGCGCTGCGAGCATTTCGACCATCAACGGTGACTTTATACACGCCGCCCAATCGATGAGGTGATCAATTTTCATATGTGACTGCCTTAGAAAAATAAGAACAGTTTTCAGATCAACAAACTTAAAAAATTTAAAAAAACACCTTAATCACTACATTTCGTAGCGTAAGAAGAAATGAAAACTGTTAAAATGCTTTTTCCACAAAAACTACTTACAGTAAAAATGGTTTCACAGAAACACCAACGGGTGAAACCATCTGCAGATTACCATAACTTCTATCACCTATTACTAAAGTTCCTTTCCAAACAGTTATTGGTACTTTTTTCGATAAGTTTTTCCTAAAAAAGTATAGTCTATGTGACTTTAAAATTGAAGCTAATTTTTTCTGGCGTTCCAAAGTATGACTGTAAAACCCTTCTTTAATGTTAATAATGTAAAAACAAAAATGATTTTACTGCTGTAACAAGTTTGATATGACTTACGAAGAAGAAGCAAATTCAACTGTATATATCGCATAAGGGAGCACATTGGACGGATTAACAGCAAAACGATCACGATCAAGTAACTCATAAAAATAGACCTAAAATTAAATTTTTAATTTCCGGTAAAACGTAAATTACTTAAACAGCTATAAAAGGAATGTTTTGCAAACTTAAAAGAGGCCTTACTTCACAAGTCAAGATGCCTCATCTGAAAACCATAAGGAGCATCTGCGATTATTCAACAGACTTAAAATTATGTGGACCAAATAGATAAGAATAAAGAAAAAACAAATAACATTTAAGAACAACCTGATTATACCGGTAAAGTTCGTGTCGAGTAAGCGACGACGGGTCCGACGCAGCAAGAGGTATGTGAGAATTATAGTTCTTAGTGGGTTCAATTTCATAAGACCCCAGTGGAACATTCCTCGGTCGGCCCTTCAGTACCTAAAACTATTTAGTTCATCGTTTCTTGATTATTCACTTTTAAAACACCAAACAAACTCGGGAAACTGTAAGAAAGCAAAAA